AAGTTACATAGAACAAATTTACAAAAGAAGTCATATGTGGTTGAAGCTAGACATGATAAACATACAATAAACACAAACACACTTACGCCAGTTGTTTACATGAGTTCTGTCACTCGTTGTTTGGTTAACATATAATTTTTTTTTTGCAAAATCTAACTTCTTCTTCAATGGCCAAAATGGTTCTCATAGAGCCGTCACTTCTTTCCTTGTTTTTCTGAATCTCATGTGTATGTGGTAACGAAATTGTAAGTGTTCACTATATGCACTATCCGTAATATCAACTATTTAATAGGCCGACATATCACACGTCTGTGATTGTTTCCTTTTTATGACTATCGACTTTGGGTTCGGTGTGAGAGGAGTAAGTGTACGTCATGGCGTTGCCCTATTTACCACCATTGTGCCCTCTATTTTCATTGAGATGTTGAACACCATAATCTTCCTTTGAACAACTAGTATCTCTAATGGGATAGTGTCTGGTTCGGTAAATCCAAGTGTAACAATCATTTCAGAGCAACTTTTGTTAGTCATTTATGTTATTGCCTCATTAAATAAGACTGCTTTGACATTTGAACTCTCGTATATGATGGACTTTACATGAAAATCAGTTCATGAATGTGGTTTTCATCTTCGCAGATGAATCTCGGAGTTTCACCTTTTTTGGAAAAATAACTTATTTATGCAATGCGGACATGTAACGTAATACTCTATTCGATGCGATGTTATTTCAATTACAGTTCCCTTGCAAGTAAATGTTGTTTGCTCTTGATGAGTAGGTGCAACCGGTTTTGTGTGCTTGCCTATTGTAGTGTCAACTTGTAGAAATATGAGTAAAAGGATGGTATATACCGTCGGGTTTGTCTCCTTAATATCTTGACAATCAAAAGTATTGTCTGAGTTTGTTGCACCAATTCCTCTTCTTTCAAATGGGTAAAGCCATATTATCTAGATGTCATAAGTATACTGAAAGATCTATATGCCCAAGAGTCATTATAGAATGATATTTTTGATAATATATGTTTCTAAAGGGTCACACTAACAACAAATTGATGCAAATATATTATTTATAAGAATTTAATTCTTGATAATGAAATATATATCTTGTAATTAATTGTAAATTATTTATTTCATGGAAATATTAATTTTCAATTGTTAAGTATAAAAATATATCATAACATACCATAAGGTAATTACTATGCCATGTACATTTTTTTGGACCAAAAAAGTTTATTTTTGTCTTATATGGATTTATAGTTTATAAGTTACAAAAATTAGAAGAGTTTTTATAGAAAAACTAGCTTCTTCTTTTTATTAAATATTCAAGGAGACCATAAAGAATAAAGAATACTTGTTTTTGATTAATTTATTCAACACACCATGCTCTTAGAAACCATGGCTAGTTGATTTGATGAAACATATGTCTTAAAGGTTAAATCTCATGGGATAAAAGCATAAAGTTAAGAGCATATAAACTAGTTATCTCTCTTCCTTCTTTTACTAAGCCACAACCATGAAATTTTGGCCATTCTATCTCATCTTTCTCTCTAGCTTCTTAAAGTGTTAAGTTAATTGTAAACTCTCTTTAAGTTAATAATTTGGTTTTAACTTAAAGCTTAAGAGTGTTCTATTATTACAAGAATATACAAGGCTAGCATCTTATCAACTTGGCTAAATGTTGGTGGATACTTCTATAGAGCTTCTTTCTTGGAGCTTAAAGCCATATTCATCAACTTCCTAATTTCCAAAAGGAACCAAAGTATTCAAAGGTTGTTTCACTTTCTTCTTCTTTGGTTATGTTTAATCTTTCTAAGTTCTTGCAAAATGCTATTTTTGTGGGAATAAAACTAGTTTTATTTTGTTCAAAATTAAAGTCTTCCATTGCTATTTTGTGTTTATGAAACAAGTTTTGAATAAAAACTCAACAATTGCTATCAGAGCAATTTTTGCAATATTAGTTAGATTATTTGTTAAGTTGAAGAAATCTTTGTTTTTGGAAAACATGGATGGTTTTCTCTTTGCAAGAAAAATCCATCCATATTTTCTATGACAACTTTAAAATGTTTATATTTGTTGTTTTTATAACTAAAAGTGTACATGCATCTTTTTTGTCATAAAAGTTGTCTTAGAAAAACAAAAGAGTTGTTTTATATATTTTTGAGTATATAAATGTGTATGATGTGTATAAACTAGCTATGGACATTTGTGTTGTTGCATGTGTTGATTTATTTAAAATGGTTGTAATTATTTATTTATTCATATGATATGTAATAATTAAATAGATAATTTTCATTTGTTAGTTTTTGTAAGTAATAGACTAGTTTTAGAAATAACTTATTTTTATAACATGTAACAAGAATGAAGATGGTTGCCATTTTGAAGATCAAAAGTTTATAAACTTGATTTTATTAAAGTTTCTCAAACTTTATAAAATTAGTTTTATAAACTTGCTACAAGGTTTTGAAGTAAGTGGGAGCATATTAGGACTTTACAAGATGAATGTCCCTTATGTCCCTTTAGGACTGGACTTAATATTTTTTTGTGATGGCTCTCAAAAATATTACTTGTGTATGGCTTGGTTTATACACATATGTTTTTAACATGCTTTTGTTGTTTTATATTTATGTTGTTATTGTTATGTTATGGTTGATAAATTAGTTTGTCAAATACAAAATAATATTTGAACATAAATAAACATCACAAAAGAGTTTGATTTTAATAAAATTTACCTTTTAACAAAAGATGGTAAAAATAGTTTTAAAATAAAACAAGCTTTATCGCTAAAAGTAGTCACCGGTAAAATTCGGGATTAAAATTATATAAATTTAAAATAGAGATTTGTAAATTTGTCAAACTCCAAACCTTATTTTATAAAATGAAGTTTTATTAAATATGTTTACAAATGTTCTAAAGTGCTCAAACGTCGAATTAATACTAGCTATTAAAATTTGATCGCGTCAATTTTATAAAATTAGGTTTTATAAAAGAACATTATTAAAATGTGATTTTACATAAAATAAGATTTTTTAAAGTATACCATGGTTATTAGATGCATGCAATAACCATGATATAACATGTTTTTTAAACTAGAATTATAAAAACATCAAAGACCCCTTAGAAACCTCAAATCTATGCAATCCTTCTTAAAGAACACTCACACATCTCCCGTATGTACTAGTGGGATAAAAGTTACCTAACCGCTTGGTGTTATGTTTTGATGACATGGGTGTTTTGCGATTTCTATAACCATGTTATAGGGCGATTACCCATGTTTTTTAAATTGCATGATTTGATCGGGAATCTTTTGTGATAAAGGATATCTAAGCAAGAAAGTTCTGATGCATAAATGGGATCAAATATGTATAATTAAATTTGTTATTAGCGATCCTCTAAATCTAGGAATTATATAATAGGATATAATCGATAAACGATATCTACTGGTTTGAATTCAAATGGATGAGATAAATGATACCTAACCATTTATTTGTTTTGCAACTTGGATTCTAGGCTTTGATAATTAATGTGTTTCGAAACTAAAAGGGTATTAATTATTAAAAATTAAAGATTGAAAATAGTAAATGAATTTTGTTAAAATTTTGTAGATATATAATCCACTCTCATTACTATGAATTGTCATTTTCTTTAAATTAAGCAATAACATTCGATAGATACAACTTCAACGAATGGGTTCATGTCTCTAGAGACAATCTCGCAAGAGGTGTGAAATTGTATACATTTAAAGGTCCTAGTCCTTAACAATTTGCTTTGAGAAATTGTAACAACCACCAAATTTGGGTCAAAATCTATCGATTGATGTCCGTGAACATCACTAGACTTAGACCTAATGTACGACATCGCTACGATTATTAAGTAAAATTTAATAATAAAGATACTTATATGTATATTATTCGTGTTCAACCTTATATATTATGGGAACCTTAATATGTATACACGTATGCTTATGTGCCAAGAGAAATTATTAAGCGAGTAATGTCAAATGTCTAGTAAGATTATTTCCTTCTAACATACCAAAAACTCGATTTCTATGTGCTAGACACTTATAAGTAGTAAAATCTTATATATATATATATATATATATATATATATATATATATATATATATATATATATATATATGAATTTATGATACAAAAGAATTGGTCCATAAAAGATCTAAACCAATGCACATGTTATATGCATATAAATAACAAAACTCGATTTTTTTGCTATCTACATACACCAAATGTGAATAATTGATAAACTAACCAACCAACCAACATTATTGTTGACGTGTTTTTAAAATGTATGTATCTCTAGGTATCCAAAGTGGCTGGAAGAACACTCACCCGTTGTGAGAATGAAGAATTTGATTTCGTAAATAAATAGTTTGCTCTGTAGTCACCTTTTGCCTCTTTTATGTCTTGCAGGAACTTGTATTCCACGTGTAACGCTTATGGATTTATTAAACAATGTATTTATTCATATTCGAATTCTGGAAGAATGCAACGTTATCTAAATATTGGTATTATTTCAATATATGTTGTTTAACTGTGATCCAATATGTTTAGTTTCAACCCCGACGTTTCCGTCATTGGTCGGGGTGTGACAGATTGGTATCAGAGCTAACGAATATATCGAATTAGTATATTCCTTATAGGTCTAAGTATTCCTATTCCTAAACCTATAGCATCTTGATAATGGACTTACCCCTGTAAGTCTACGATGCATTACACTTAGTTTCTTTCCATAGAGCTACGATTCTATAATCAAGATTATCCATATAAACCTACAAGTGATAGATATTATTAACTACACTACAAAAGTAGCAAATATAAATTAATAATATACAAACAAATTAAAAATAAGATAAATGTAAAAAAAAGAGTTTAAAACGCACAAGGGGGAAATGGAGTCTGAAGCATACGAGTCTGATCGAGGATAGCGAACCCGAAGAGGACCCTAGTGAGGATCCAGAGGAGATGGAATAGGAGCCTAAGGGGGAAATGGAGTCTGAAGCATACGAGTCTGTAGGTAATGTGACCCATATAGAAAAAGAAGAGCATGTTGCGTCACCACCACCTATCTCTTACTACTTGGGCTCAGGGATACATCGTAACCGGAAAAACGCACAAAAGACCATTCCCACATGTGGAGGCGTTAAGAAGAACCATAGGACTCAACATCTCTGTTTCCACAGGTTCGCGGACAACTTTCGCCTGTACCACACTGTCCCTGCTGAGCCAACACGAAACTCGATGCCTGAAGCCTCCCGTGAAACACAGAAGACAAGGGTCGATGATCCCTCCTGTATTGCGGATGTAGTGAACTAATGGGTCAAAGATGAGGGAGGAACCCACCGGTATGTGGTAGGGAAATGTTCAGGGGGAAAACCCCCAACCACCACTGAGGAGGATATTTTGTCACTCTTATTTGACTGTACCATGCAACTTGGCCACAAGGTCGAGTCCATGGCTGACGAGATGTGTACTGTCATGAGCAACAACGCCCTGCTAGCGAGGCAGTAACAGGAGATGAGAGCTCAGAGGGGACGGGACCACGAGGACATGAAGAGGGATCAAGGCAGAATCCAATTTATGTATGACTTTATGATCACTGAGGAGATTCGTAGGTTGGAGATCGAGGGGCAGATCCGGGCGGCTCTAGCAAGGTCCATCGAAGCGAACGCTAGGGAAAGAGGAGCGGTGGAGCAACTAGGGACTGTGGAGGAACAAATCCAAAAGATCTTGGATGCTCTGTCCCACAACTTTGGTTTGGGATAGTCTGGGTTGGAGCGAAGGATGGTTAGTTAAGGCATTTGGCAAGTCATGGGTGATTGCCAATTTTGGGTATAAAAATTCGGATATGTAATAGGACAATGGGTCGCTTAGTGACCCTCAGATAATATGAATTATGATGTAAGGGGGAGGGATAACAAGAACACTTTGAAGTCTTGAAAATTCTCATGTGATTGACTCGTTGTAAACATGTTGAAGTTTTCATCTTTAGCATATAGTTATTTTGTTGTATTAAAAATGAATGTAAATCCCTGGAACAATTATGTGAATATAATGAAGCATATATTATTATTATTATTATATTTTGAACTATGTGATAATTATTGTGTCAATTTGTTTGTTTGCATTTCAAGAACAACGATAACCTTTTGTAAATAATTGGAAACTTGGGCAATGAAAAACGTACAATTGAAATTATTAAATAGATCAACGTCATGCCGCCAAGAAAGAAGAGCGAACGACTGAAAAAGCGACCCCTGTCTGAAAGATTGGAAGCAACGGTTCCACCCATGACTTCTCAACCCAAGAGAGGCCGACCGAGCACAAGGCCAATGGTAACTCCAGTTGTGGATCCACCAATTGTTGGTGCACCACCCCCCAAGGCAGGACTCCCTTAACAATATTGGACTTGGAGAAACTAATCTCAGACCGCCTTATGATCACTATGGCAAACTCAAGGAACACGAATGAAAGAACGCCCATCATAGAAGTTGAAGGACGTGGGACTAGGCCAGGAAGTAGTTCGAACATTAACCCTAATGAAACTCGAAGGGACTGCACCTATAAAGACTTCATGAACTGCAAGCACAAGTACTCCTATGGAAATGAAGGCGTGATCGGTCTTACCAGGTGCTTTGAAATGACGGAGTCCGTATTTCAGATCAGTTACTGCACTGAAGACAACAAAGTGCGTTTTGCTGCCTGTACTTTCATGGATGCGACACTGTCTTGGTGGAATGACAACGTAAAGACACTAGGCATCATCCCTGCCAACTCCTTGACTTGGGGAGAACTGGAAACCATGTTGATATAAGAATACTGTCCCAGACACAAAGTTCAGAATCTTGAGAACGAGCTGTGGAACCTAAATATGAGATGTTCATACATTAAAGCTTACACAACCATATTTAATGACCTTGCTTTGTTGTGACCATCACTGGTAACCCTAGAACACATGCAGATAGAACGCTATATTTGGGGATTATCTCCTAAGATCAAGGGTATGGTCATGTCTTCAAGACCTACAACCTTTGAGAGTGCTAAGAATATGGCCAAACGATTGACTAATAATGAGATCAGTCAGGGAAACATGGAAGCCAAAGTTGAAACCCCCAAGTCGGAACCAATCAAGAAAAGGAGATTATCTAGAGGAAAGTCAATTCCACACAAGAAACAAGAAACCATGAAGGTATATGCGGCAACTCCATTAGTAACACAAACACCTGTACCCCACAGGAACCACACAATTAAATACCCAAAGTGTAACATCTGCAATAGAAACCACCTTGGAGAGTATTACCATTACACCCAATGCAACAGGAAGGGGCATACTAGAGACTTCTGTAAGAACTTTGCTGATAATGGAAGGGAAAGAGTATGTTATGAGTGTGGAGAGAAATGTCACTTTATACGAAAATGCTCAAAAATGAAGAAAAAAGGTGGAAATGCTCGTGAGAGAGCAATTTTGATAGGAAACATGGATGCTATTCAGGATCCGTCTGTGGTCACTGGTACGTTCCTTATAAATAACTTGTATGCTATGATACTTTTTGACTCTGGTGCAGATAAAATTTTAACAACTCCGTCTTTTCAACAACTTTTAAATCACGAGTCTAGTAAATTAGAAGTTGCATACGAAGTAGAGGTAGCAAACGACCAGGTAGAAAGTACTACTGGAATCCTAAGGAATTTCTTGTTAACCCTAAACGACCACACTTTCTACATAGATCTCATGCCTATTCCTATCACAAGCTTTGACAAACTTAGGAATGGATTGGCTTGCTCCTCACCATGCTGGGATTTTGTGCTATGAGAAGGAAATACGATTAACCTTACCTAACGAAGAGATCATGATTATCTACGGGGACAAGTTGGGAGAAAACGTAAAGTTAATCTCTTACACAAAGGCTCAGAAATATCTGCATAAGAAATGTTACGCCTTTCTGGCTCACATAGTGGATAAGAAGAGCGGAGCGAAAGAATTAAAGGACATACCGAAAATATGTTATTTCCCGAATTTTTTCCGGAAGACATACCCGGATTACCCTCGAGCCGACAAGTCGAATTTAGAATTGACCTAATTTCAGGCGCCGCCCCAGTAGCCAAGTCACCCTATAGATTGGCTCCCTCGGAGATGCAAGAACTTTCAAGCCAATTGCAAGAAATTCTTGACAAGGGCTTCATAAGACCAAGTTTCTCACCTTGGGGAGCCCCAGTCCTGTTCGTCAAGAAGAAGGATGGATCATTCCGAATGTATATCGATTACCTGGAGCTAATTAATCTGACAATCAAGAACCGTTACCTGCTCCCTAGAATCGATGACTTGTTTGATCAACTACAAGGGTCTAGCTACTACTCCAAGATCGACTTGAGGTCCGGATATCATCAAATGAAGGTATTAGAAGCAGATATACCGAAGACCGCATTCAGGACTCGGTATGGTCACTACGAGTTTCTTGTGATGCCCTTCGGCCTAACGAATGTCCCAGCAGTATTCATGGATCTCATGAACCGTGTTTACAAGCCTTACTTAGATAAATTCGTGATTGTATTCATTGATGACATTCTGATATAATCACGAACAAAGGAGGAACACAGCCAACACTTACGATTATTATTGGAATTGTTGAGAAAGGAGAAATTATATGCAAAAATTTCCAAATGTGAATTTTGGATAAGAGAGGTACGTTTCTTAGGTCATGTCGTTCGCAACAAAGGAATACATGTGGAACCCACAAAAATCGAAGAAATCAAGAATTGGGAGGCACCAAGGACGCTAAGTGAAGTGCGCCAGTTCTTAGCCCTTGCTGACTATTATCAGAGATTTATTGAAAATTTCTCCAAGACAGCAAAGCCTCTCACTGCATTAACAAAAAAGGATGTGAAGTTCAACTGGGAAGACATGCAGGAAGCTATTCCATAAATTGAAACACATGTTGTGTAGTGCACCGATCCTGTCACTCCCTAATGGAGCAAAAGACTTTGTCGTCTACTGTGATGTGTCTCATCGAGGACTGGGTTGCGTACTAATGCAGAGAGGCATGGTGATTGCTTACGCTTTGCGACAACTAAAAGTACACGAGGTTAACTACACTACTCATGAACTTGAGCTAGGAGCTGTGGTTTTTGTCCTAAAGATTTGGAGATACTGCTTGTATGGTACAAAATGTAATATTTTTATAGATCACACGAGTCTCCAACATATCTTCGACCAAAAATAACTCAATATGAGGCAATGAAGATGGTTCAAATTACTAAATGATTACGACTGTGAAATTCATTATCATCCTGGAAAGGCTAATGTAGTGGAGGACGCTCTGAGTCATAAAGAGCATCTGAGACCTAGGCGTGTACGTGCACTGACCATGACCATTCATTCTAATCTAACTACACAGATACGGGAATCTCAACTTGAAGCACTACGAGGAATGGATACACAATTCGAGATCAGGTTAACGGGACACGATATTACATGGACCGAATCTGGACGCCCAAATTCAGTGAAATCAAGGGCTTAGTCATGGATGAGGCTCACAAATCAAGATATTCCGTCCATCCCGGCTCTGACAAAATGTACCAAAATCTAAAGAGATTGTATTGGTGGCCGAACATGAAGGCAGAAATGGCTACGTACGCAAGCAAGTGCTTGACTTGCTCAAAGGTCAAAGGGGAGCATCAAAAGCCCTCAGGATTACTCCAACAACCGGAGATACCAGAGTGGAGGTGGGAAATGTCACTATAGACTTTATCACTAAACTGCCAAGGACACCGGCTGGTTTTGACACTATCTGGGTAGTAGTTGATAGAGTGACCAAGTCCGCCAATTTCCTACCAATTAAAGAGACGGATAAGATAGAAAAGCTGACCCGGACAAACCTTAAGGAAATAATCAAACTTCATGGGGTACCAATCTTTATCATTTTTGACAGAGACAGTAGATTCACCTCAATATTTTGGCAGTCCCTGCAAAAGTCCTTGGGTACACATTTGGAAATGAGCATGACTTACCATCCACAAACAGACTGTCAGAGTGAACAAACCATCCAAACCGTAGAGGATATGCTCCGGTCATGTGTAATAGATTTCGGAAGCTCATGGGATATTCATTTACCCTTAATTGAGTTTTATTATAACAATAACTAGCACTACAACATAAAAGCGACACCATTTGAGGCTTTATACGGAAGGAAATGTCGTTCACCATTATGTTGGGCAGAGGTTGGTGTTGGGTCTAAAATATGGTTTATACTTTGCTTTTTCTAGGCAATTGGGTTTTCGGTCCATGTGGTTGGGAGTGTTTACGGCCGTGAACCCAT